GCCATTGCAACCGACGCAACAAAGTCGGCCCAACAGCAATGCAGCACCCACCTGGTATGCCTTCCATGCCATACGACTCCCCACGTCACACGCTCTCGCTGCCCGGCTTTGGTACCTGGAATGCTCTTGAGGCTCCTCCTTGTGCACTTGCTGGATGTGGATGATCATGCCACTGATCGTACTGAGCTTCTTGTAGCACGTCGGACACTTGAAGTGCCGCGCTTTCTGATGTAGAATCAGCACCTTCTCGTCGTCAAAGTTGCGGTCGCAGTAGTAGCAATAGATGCGTCGCTGCGGGGCGTTGCCGCCCGCACTGTCCTCGCGTCGCTTCTTCTTGCCCATGTCTCCTGCCTGCCGAAAACTTTGTGGCGTTTCTTTTAGTTAGAAACTAATGGTGGAAAAGTAAATTCATTCCGGTGAACCGATAAATAAAAAAGGTCGACAGCTAAATGCATACAGGTGAAAAGATAAACACATACAGGTGGACAGATAAATAAACAACTAGAGGTTGCTCGATGGGCTGCCTGCAACAGAAACCAGTTCGAACAACCTCCGCGCCACCTTTGACCCCCGCCGTCGACACGTCCAGCACGTGACTGGATTCCACTATGGTGAGCGTGCTCTTCGTGTGTCTGGGCAACATCTGCCGCAGCCCAGCGGCCGAGGCCGTGTTGAAGAGCATTGTCGCTCGAAGCGAAGCCGCCGGGGCACCTTCGATCCACATCGACTCGTGTGGTACCGGCGGCGGCGCCTCCGACTGGTACCTCGAAGGCGGTACGTCGTACCACGAAGGCGACGCAGCAGACTCGCGCATGATCCGCGCGGCGCACAAGCGCAGCTACGCGATGACGTCGCGCTCGCGGCCGCTGACGAGACGGGACATTGACGACGCGGACTACATCGTCTGCATGGACGAGCGCAACGAGGCGGCTGTGCTCGAGGCCGCGGAGGCCTGGGGCGGCGCGCCGTGTCGGCGTCTCGCGGCGTCGAAGCTCTCACTGATGACGCGCTACTGCACGGCGTTTGAGGGTGTCGCGTGTGTTCCCGATCCGTGGTACACTGGCGGCTTTGACCACGTGTTGGATCTGCTGGAAGACGCGTGCGGCGGATTGTACACTGCCATTGTGGCGAAGGGGGAGAAGTGAACGAGGCAGCGAGTGGTAATGGAGGACGGGGACGAGGACGAGGACGAGGACGAGGAGTTATGGGGAGAGGAAACAAAGAATGGGGAAACGCAGTCTTCGTGAGACTTGTGGGGGCTTTCACGGGCCTTGTAGTTGTCCTGGCGGGAGGGACGTGGTCTTTGTTGCTTGCAATCGACAGCTTGGACAAGACCGGGTGAACGACGTGCGAAGGAAACGATGACCGCCATACGTCTCTTGTGAAGCAGTTTTACATTCGCATCAGTGTATGCGCTTCCAACTTGGTCGAGGTCACATCTACACAGTCATCAAAAATACACAACAGTGCTGGATGGAAATGAAAAGCGCTGTGATTGTGCATCTCCCGGTGACGGACATTAGCTACGGCTACAACATGTCCGCTGCATGCGACAATAACTACATGAAGGCAGTGCGGATAGTGCAAGTATAGGACGCAAATGGGCACGTTTCTCCTGGCCCCTACTTTTGCAGGCGCATGCTTCCCGTGATGAGCACACGAAGTACAGCAGTGCTAGTTTACCGTCGCACTTGCGCTGTATAACATACGCAATACCGTAGAAAGCGAGCAGCACACACGATCAAAGCATGACAACTGCACTGCAAGAGCAAAACAAAGGATGAACGTTTATAGTCTAGTCACGCATCAGCCGTCTCATTTCGTCTTGGACGGCAGGGCCACGTAATCGTTCACGGACGTAGCAGCACTCTTGCGATCAGACGGTGTCTTCGCACTCTGTACAAGAAGAAGAAAGGGTTGTCGACGTTAGTAATGAATGTTCCTGCAGATACACGAATGCAGACTTTGCTCACCTTCTGACTGAGAAACTTCTGCTTGAGAGCCTGGACAGACGTGGCACGTTTGTTCGCCTCTTGAGCCTCAGCCTTTTGTTTTTTCCGCGCTTTTGCAGCTTCCTTCTCGTTCGGCGCGACAAACTCGGCCATTTTATCGGCCTTGCGTTTCTGCAGCACTTGGAGGTTCTCCTCGTGCTTTTTCTGCTTCTTGATCGCCTTGCGTTCGTGCTCTTTCATAAAATACTCGCCACTCTCAATCTCCTTGTCCACCTTGCTGGCGGCAGGTGCCGGCGGGAACGGCGTGTATTCGCGCTTCTCACGCACCTTTCTCGGCTTCTTTGTCTGCACATTCTGCTTTTTGAACGAAGGCAAGAACCGCTCCCAGTTTTCGCCTTTCAACTTCGGGTCTTTCGACAGCTCCCGCTTGATCATGAGCCGCTTGACGTTATAAATCGGGTGCACGTTTGCAAAGCAGTCCTCAACGATCTTGCGGACATTGCGCAGACCTTGGTAGCTGCCCATGGCCGACACCGTGTTGCCCTGTACGAGCACGTAGCAGTCGGTGAGCAGTTCAATAGCCTTGAGCGTCGCACCATCAGGGCCCACGAGACGTTGGCGACGCTTGACAAAGCGCTCCTTGTTGCGAACGAGGCCACCAATCTTGATGATGTCGCACTGGACATTGTCGTCCAGTATCTTCACTGCTTGATTCACAGGAATGCTGCGTGCCAGCAGCTTGATCAAGTCTCGCGCCTTGAGCACAATGTACGGGTCAGTTGTCTTGCGCGTCGTTCGCACGGTCATGCTGCCTTCCACCAGATTGAGCTCGCACGAGACCTTGTGAGCGTCCAGTGCTTTCGTCACAATCGGCCACACTTCGCGCAGGTACTTTTCACGGTACTTGGGGAACAGAGTGGCAAACGAGCTCTCCTCCAGCAGTCCAGGCATCTTGACCTTCTTCTCCGGGTTCTTCTCGTCCTGCACCTCGTCCTGCCACGGACTGATCGTCCAGTGGTCAATGTCGTCGCTGTCCCATGGCTTGTCCTTGCGGTGGCTCTTCTTCTCGTCGCGGCTCTCTGCCTCCACGTGATTGCGCGGTGCGTCCCCGTCGAACTGCTCCATCGTCCCGCCGCAGCTCTCGACTGCGGGGACCAGCCAAATTGAGCGCAAACCGGTATGCCGCGGTATGTACCAGATCCGCCGAGCCGCCTCTTCGTGCGAAACGGTTGTGTACCACGCGCAAAGTATTTGGTCCAGATGAAGCAGAAATGGTCGATTGAGCAAAAAAAAAGAGAACGCACACGCATTTGAACAGTGACAATTTGGTGATGTTGTGCTAGAGTTGGGGCGACGGACACTCGGGCACAGACGATTTACCTCACGCAACTGACTGATGCAGCTTCGTTAAGACTAGCGCAGGCAGATGACGATGCACAGTACGTCGAGCTCAACGACGTTGCGAAGAAGAGCAAACAAGAGACCAATTGATTGTACCATCAGGTCATGGTCCCGTGCAGCAATCTCACCGACCAGAAGATGTCGAGGGTCGTCGCAAGTTTGCATCTCTGCACGACGTCAACTGGTGCTGCGTTCATCCCCCGCGATGGCATCGGCCAACGGACGTCAGTCTGTGCTTTGTTACAAGAATGTCGATACCAATGGATCATGTCTTCTATCGACTGGTGGTGCTATCGTTTCCGACATCGTAGGGCATAACATACCACCATCGACTTTTCCACGTCAATGCCTTCCCATATTCGCATGCGTTGGTGGCCGTGACGACTTTGTTGCGGCAGAGCTATGCTACCACCGTGTGGGCGTCTTCGAGGCACTGAGGCAGGACACTGATTGCCAAAGACGTGCAGGAATAGACGTCTGGCTTTGTCCCGTCGGACAGTCGTGTCTGCCAGCTTTCGGAAAGATGATGGCAAACGAGACTTCGCCCGTGGACGTGGCGACACATGACTGTTCTTCTTGCATCGCGATCAAGTGTCGAGTCGCCGCGTCTGTGCCGTTCAGATAGTCACGCATCAGAAGTGATCCAGAAGAACGCAGCCCGACTCAGGCGCGTGTTAAACAATCCAGAAGAACGCTCACTGGCTCGAGATCTTCGTTGCGCTCGTCTGGCCATGTCGCGAATCTGCGCGAGCAATTGTCGAGTGGACTGGTATCGTTTTTTTTTCCGCCCCATCCTCTTCCGACCGTACAAAAGATTGGAAACTCGGACTTTGACGCGGTATGGCCTGGCCGTCTCCGCTGTCAGGATGTTGCGAGGGAAAGCGGAAAGAAACAGCAGAGTGTATGGAAAGTAGTCTGAAAGGGCGCACGCGTAGTGTGCGGAGTGGTCTGAGTGGCAACGAGTTCGTGCAAGTCTGGAAGCGGCTGAAGGGGCGCACGAACCGGCCAACTGGCCACGCGGCAACGATTGTGAGATTTGAATCCACTGCTTGGCCCCATGCTCCGACCTCAGTCGCGCCCCGTCACTTGCAGACGCTCCTGCCGTGCGAAAAGGCCCCCTAGCGCCATTTCGCGCGTTTGGGTAATCGGCTGGCGACAATCCAGAAAGATCGGGCTGTGCCATCTTGACGCGTGCAAGCTCGGGATTGCCTGATCAGAGCACATGGCACCGGCTCGGACACCGACGTCGACGTCACAGCGAGTGAGCTGATTATGAGCGCGACGCCGTTACATCTTGTAGCCCGTCACCACGAAATCTGAATGCATTCGGTTCGTGGCGGACGGTCAAGAATTTGCGGAATTCGTTGGAGCAATAGCATGTCGATGCGACGCGAAAGACGGTACCAGCGATCGACTGCCAGTTTCTCGGACGCCGCTCACCTACGGACGATCGGCGAGTCTCGACTGGCTCTAGCGGCATGACGGGTGCATCTCGTTGGTAGAAGGTGACACTTGTTTCTTTTTTCGCGAGCTCATGCGCGGAATGGTTTCGGTGCGATCGACTGCTTCCAGCGTAAACACAGTGTGACGCCGAAGCACGACTGGCGTAGCGCAACTGAGCACACACCTGGAGCAATTAAGTTTGCTATGCACGTGCGTAAGAAGCAGAAGGAGAACGAAATGAATGGCTGGCCGATCGCAATCCGTTGTTCGCATTATTCGACAAACGAGTGTGTTAGCTCTGTGACCAGTGCGACGCCACCGAGAGACTCGGTTCGCCTTCTACAACGATCCTTCGAGTCCTCCCCCGTCAAGATCGCCCCGAGGCGCAGTGAAGAAAGAACTAGTCACAAGAATAAATTGAGTTTCATTACAGGCAAACACTCGACCAGTTTCGCGGCCATCAAATCGAAAGGCACGTACGTGTAGGAAAATAGCACATTGCCACATAGTGTTGCTTCCTCCGTTCCCATAGCTCTTGCTACACGTTGTCTAGCGGCCATTGCTCTCCCCCATATGCATCTAGAGAGTAGCAAGGGATTGCAATTGTGATGCATTGCGAAGCACCGTAGACCAGCAAAGCTTGAGACCTCTCGCTCGCAGAGCATTGAGCAGAACAAATAGGTCAAAGCGGTGCAGTGTACACACATCCGCGAGTTTGCTGTTTTCCAAGTGGTCACTTTTTGGGAACGTGAGAGCGGCAAGTGGTCGACAGCGGCGTCCTATCCGTCAAAGGCAAGAAGTCTCACTCACTTGTCGATGACTCCACTGCAATACAACGCATCAAGGTAAACAAGGGCTACAACAACAACATCAACAACAACAACCTTGTACACCGAAGAGCAACACCGGTGCACTTTAGCTGATACGGTCATGTTGAGCCCACATAACGCTATCCATACACTTGACTTGACCCGCCTCATTCGTTGCTACCACAACGTCAACTCGATGTGCTACATGCAGTCATCAATGGCAGTCGTTCCGTTCGCTGACGGAACACTCAGTCCCGACAACAACGTTCATGACAGCAGTCCACTGCTTGTCGTTCAAGACCTCTTTCGTATCACGCACGATACACATGTGCACTTTAACGCAGTGACTATTCTTGCAACAGCGTCAGGCCGTTGCTCCGAGCCTGACCTGCAGTACGCAATCCCGATCCAGTGAGTTCCTGTTACCAACTTGATCTCCATCTCCTACCTGAGCAGATAAATTCCGCTCTGTCCATTGCCATCATCAGTGAACGAATAGCGCCACGACCTCTTGTTCCAGAGCTATTTTCGACGATCGTCAGCTGCTGTCGTCCATTGACTTTTGGTATCCCGATCGGCAGTAGCGGATGAATGGAGCGCCCGATTTGGTCGAGCTTTGCGTGCCTTTGCAACGAAGCAGCGCCGTGGGACGCTGACACGCGACTGGCAGACACGATCGTGGAAGGTCAATTGGTGCACCAGCGTCGAGTGAGCCGCAAATGTTCCTTCTATGACTTGGCGTCGATACCCATGGGACCAACTGGTCAGCGCGAGCGACTGGAAGTGATCCTCAAGATCATTGACGACGAATTGTCCATCGACGAGCTCGACGCTATTCGATACCGAGTCAAACTTGGCGACATTGTGCGTGTCCGGGGGTTCCTCGAGCGGCTCGAAGACAAGGCGTCGATTTTAGTGCATGCGCGCGATATTACTGTCGTTCGGGCGTGGAAAGAAGAGCACCCGGGCATGACATTCCTTCCGCTGCCATCATCAGTACCTATCGGTTCAGGTAAAGGGCAACCGCAGTCGCTTGATCAAGTAACCGAAGACAGCAGTGCTGGCCGCGAGGCGGTAGCAACCACCAGTAAGGAGCACGTCACGACTCGAGGCATAGTCAACCGGGTGCACTGCAAGTTCTGGATCAACTCGAAAACCTGTCAACACGGTGACAAGTGCGAGTTTTTCCATGTCGGCCATGCCGAGCGCAAAAAGGAGCATACCCGGTGGCTCGTCGACCGACTGCAGCTCAAGCGCGTTCGAGCTCAGATCGATCACGACCCGTTCGATCCTCACGGGAAAACTGGCAAGCAGCAACGTGCACAAGTGTTTGTCAAGTGGCTCGTTGAGACGTTTGGCGCACCGTTTCTCGCGACAGGAAAAGGCGTCGTCGATATCGCAGGAGGACGAGGCAACGTGTCGTTCGAGCTGTGGAACAAGCGGAGACTCCCTTGTACTTTGGTCGAACCGGTAAGCGCTAGCGATCTTCTTGCCCGTGTAACTTCTCCACGTGAACTCACACAAACTCTCTCTCCATGTGCGCAGCGTCCGATGAAGCTGACAAAGCAACAGCACAGATACTTGCACAAGCAAAAGAAGACACAGGCGCAGCATGGCGACCCCAACGCACCTCTTACCGAATCGCTTGTTCCGCAAGTGACGGCACTTTTCAACATGGACACGTTTCTGGAGCGAGCCGAACACGTTGAGCTCATCACGCAGGCGTCGCTTCTTCTCGGCGTGCACCCCGACGAAGCCACTGACTCGATCGTTGAGGTTGCCATCAAGTTCAATAAGCCGTTTGCGATCGTTCCCTGCTGTGTGTTCGGCCAAAAGTTTCCCAACCGCCGACTCGCCGATGGAAGCAAAGTCGTGTCATACGGCGACTTGATTGAGTATCTTGTTGCAAAGCATCCGACGATTGATAAAGCTTTTCTGCCGTTTGATGGGAAAAACTTGGTGCTCTTTCGCCGACCACAGTCCATCGGGTAGCACGTTAACGACAGTAACTTGTACTAAAGTTTGAGCGTCACAAGAAGCCGAATGCACCTTTCGTGTATTAGCTCGCACATGCGCACGTGAAGATTGCCAAGACTGCTACTCAGCTACTACTGCTGACCCATAAGATCGATCGGAAACGTGTGTATCCTGTCTCGAAACACGATGACTCCACTTTGTCGCACATCACTGGCGTCACCGCTAGCTAGCAGGGTCAAGTCGACGGGGAAATCGGCGGCGGCGCTTCGGGCAGTAGAAAAGGAGGCTGCTTCCCACGTCCTTACACACTCTTGTCCACGAAAGAGAGCGACTTCGCCATTCGAGCCCAAACAGACCCACGCAATCTCTGACACGTTCACTTTGGACGGAGTCGGCACCGACAAAAGCTTCATGACGGGAAACGACGTCTTGACCCACACTTCCATTGCAAATCGAAAGTCAGGCATCTCGTTCGACACGACGTCCCGATTGCTTACAAGCCGGTAAATCAACCTGCAACACAATCGTCACAGTCATCTCAGCTCGATCACATCAGTATCCAAGCAAGCAAAAACGCTGCGCACCCTTCCTCGCCAGCAGCCAGAACGATATCTTCGTCTTTTCCCGGAAAAACAGCCAGCGTTGTCATCGGTGTGCGAGTGGGGATCGCAGCAAACGTTTTACCACAATGGGTCACCACTACATGCTTGTGGCCACTTGCTACAAGAACGTAGTTCGACAGCGTACGCTCCACGTCGAGCAGCCTGACTTGCGCGATCGCGTACACTATTGGCTGCGTTGCTGCAGGGTAGAAAAAATCCAGACCAGCGTCGTTTCCGGCATCAACTATCGCGGGAAGCCGTTGCTAGCATCAGAAGCACAAGCGCACGGGGACCTTTCAATCAAAACATATCCATCACCCCATAAAATTCACCACTTGCTCCACGTTGCACGCACCTTCCATAGAATCTCGTACTGTGTCACACAGTACAAGTTGCCCAGCGCATCGCCGACCATAAAGACGCCATTGCCTGTGTAGCAAATGTCCTGCACACCGCCTTCCAGCTGGAAACGCCGAACCTCCTGTCCGCAGGCAAACCCCGCAAAAGTCAGCAATTTTCGCGTCCACATCAAGTTACAAGTATACTGAAACCACGTCATGACTCGTACCAACTCTTCCCGCAGCACAACGAGCTCTCCACCAGCACTACCGACGAGCAGCGTGTCCGTATGCTTCACGTCTGTGTCTACGCCACATACGTTCTACACAAAAGAATACATCAACAGTTATTAGCAACATTCCCACCTGCGTTTCGCTCTAAATATAGCAACTCATATGCTTTTCTACGGTCTTATGACTGACCGTAATAGCGTGTATACACAATCGAGCGGACCAGTATACGCGCATGAGCGGCAGCTCTGCGTCGCTCGGCCGGCGCACGTCATCACGCAACGAGGGCACGGCGATTGCCCGCACGCTTCCGTCTGCAGTTCCTACATAGACGCGGTCACTGACAAGCCGCCTGCCGTGTGCGCACGTGGGTTCGCGGCCCGCGCAGATGGCGGAGCTCGTGTTGTCCATTCGCAGCTATACGCCAGTGTCACAGCGCGACGAGCTCAATCCGCTGGCGTCAGCAGAAAAAGCGGTAAAATGAGCTTGTACAGTATTATTGAGTATGGAGGGTATCGACCTTACAAATCCGGGATCACGCGGATCACGTCCGACTCTGCCGTCGGGGTTCGAATCATGTTCTAGAGGAAGTCGAGTGCCAGAAGATTCGGTGCGAAAAGATTCTGAGTCGTTGCTCATTACCATGTGTTTCGCCAGTGAACGAGTCGCCAGGAGCGTGATACAGATGGCTTCATCGCTCGTCGGCAAACCTCAAGGAAGGCGGGACACAAAGAGTAGTAGCGGCCACGTGGGGCTATTTGAGTCTCTCCATGCACGTCGATTAAATAATAGTGTTACGATCATGACGGACTGTGGCTACGAAGCTCTACGGCGACTGTCGGTGGCCAATGCCCTCGTGGTCTCTCGACCAAAAGCGCAGCGAAAACCTCTTCTTGCTCTTGATCCCACCGTTCGCACTCATTGCGAGTCCGCACATTTTACCGTTCGGACGTCGGGCGTTCCACGACTCGGCATGCGGCGACAGCGGCCACTGCTCTCTTCGTGATGGCGATGTCGGTAAACTCGGCGACCCGTTCCCGCAATCCCAAGACGCTGGTGCGCACGGCACCTCGGGTACCTGCTGCAAGTCTTCCGTGCCAAAGGCCGCGCGGATCTGAGGGAACCGCACGAGAAACGTGGCCACGTACGGCTGGAACGTCTGGATGAACGCGTTGCTGTCGTCGAACGTGGGGTCGCTGTCGCCTATGGGCGTGCCGCTGAGCGTGTGCTGCAACACTTTGGCAATCTGCACGCCCGTGGGCAGTGTCTGGGCCGTGTGGGGAGGAAAGTCAAACATCTCGGGCTTCACGAGTGCTGGACAGAGAATCCGCAAGAACAGCAAACTCCCCACGACGATCCGCGCGTCGTGTTTGCACTCGGGAAACGCCTGGCGAAACTCCGTGAGCATGTAGTGGCAGCCCGCACGCAGCACGAGCGGTGCAAAGTGGATCGCCTTGGCCAGGCGCTGGACCACGCTCTTGGCGTACTCGACCACCTGCTTGCTCGACGGCGGGCCCTGCAGGTCGTACAGCCGCGACTTGTCGCCAAACACGTTGCGCAGCACGTAGCGAAAGTACGCGCGGCCCTGCGTGCGGCCGAGCGTCTTCATAAGCGACGTGAGCTCGGACGTCGAGCGCAGAAAGAGTTCTTCGCGGCCGCCAATGTCCTTGAGCTCGGCCTTGACCGCGCGCTCGAGCTCACGCAGCCGCGGCACTTCAGTCTGCGAGCGCTTTCGGTGGACGATGCACCACTTGCCCATGGCCTGTCGCTGCTGCTGCTGCTGCTGTTGGCTCTGCTGTGTGCGAAACAAAAGGCCTCTTTGGTTGCCAACGAGTGAGTGAGTGAGTGTTGTACAGTGACTCGCGGGCGGGAGCGAGTGGCGTTTCTGGCGCTGGAGATGAGCCGCAGCGACCGTCGATATCTTTTTGGGTAGTGGGTAAAGTCGAGTGCCGGCGGCCAGCGGCGGACGCGGTCGGTCTCCTGCGGGCAGAAGCGTATCGTCCGAGCGGAACGTGCGCGGCAGCGTGCGGCGCACTTCCCGAAGCTCTGCGCGTCTCCGACTGGTGCCGTCGGTCTGTGCGGGAACAGCTTCGTGCCCGAGTTTTTCGCCGAAAGTGACCTGCAGACGAGACGCGAGAGGAGTTCAGTTCGCGCGGTCGAGCGAGTGCATTGGATTAGTTGTCGCAGGTACAATAGGATTGCGGGAGGTAAGTCAGCGACAGAGTAGGGAGATCGAAGGCGTTTGCATGGACAGAATATCGCTATACGAGGGATAGAGGGACCACAGCTGTCGTCGAGCGGCTGTCAATCGCGCGCGTTCTGCGCAAGAGAGAGACGACGCAGCGTCACAGACGACGGACCTCGACAGATGATTCATGCACTGTAGAAAACGTCGATGAAGGACTTTGGTGGCAACTCAGACGTCGGGCCAGTCCCTCTTTGTCGCGATCGCGGCACGAACGACGATCGACACACTTGCGTTACTTTGCAAACATTTGGAGATCGTAGTTACGCGAACGCTCACAAATTTCGCTGCGACAGTCCGCAGCGTCACAGTGATACGCGTGGGCCGCAAATGACGAGTAAACGCTCGGGTTCGCTTGCCATTGGCTTTTGTGGTACGGTTTGGCGTCTGCGAGCGGAGACGGTGAGACACTGCGTGATCGAACAGCTATAGACGGTCGAATGTCAGCAGATTCTTGCGGCTGTGTTTGGAATCCGAAACGGTGATAGCTGCAGAGTGGGAGAGCGGGTGAGTCTGTGACGACGTTGGCTGGGAACTGCCGCTTAATTGATGCGTCTTGCAGTAGCTCGCGCGCGTGATCGTTGAACCAGGTGCCAAACGACCCTTCCCTCCATCTATAAAGCGCTGCACGTATCCACACGGCTGTAGCATTGTGGCATACCTCATCCGCAGTGAATTGCTGCTGCTCGCTGGTTTTCTCGGAATGTTCGTAGCAGTCTAATTTGTACAGCGGAGTCGTCCTCGCGGTCCCTCCTGAGCACAAAAAGTAGATCTCGCATCCGTTTGGATGAGCCTGTGCGCCGCTCTTTCCATCTCCGACTCGATACCATCGTCACCTGACCCGGGAAATGGGTCTTGGTCGACCAGATGGCCCTGCACTAACTTGAAGGAGGCAAGCCCGAGTCCACTGCCGCAAGCGTCAGCGGCTCGCAATGCGGTAGGACAGCCACAACCCGACGCAATCAATAGGCGCCTCTTTAACACACCGTCATCGACATGTCTGACTGCGACGTGGTAGGTGAAACGATCAGAAGTGCTCGAAAACCCTGCAGCGGCATCTGATCTTGGATTTGGCGGCCGCATTGTGAAACGCAGTGCTCCATATGAGACCTTAGACGCATTCTCTGAGCACGTGCTTTTGTGGAACATCCAGATCGGACAACCAAAGCAAGTAGAGTCGATGCGTGTATTCCCAGAGGCGAGATGATGTAACGTGGCGAGTCCATAGACATGTCATTGACACCGAAATTTGGAATCACTGAAGATATTATCCCAATTAACTATATTCTACAATACTTATCTTGCTTAGTAATTACTGAATGCCCATTACCTTCGAAAGTAATATTTGGCATCGCTTCACTCATTGGTTCACATTGACCGTTACATCGACTTTCTAAATTACCAGTCGCTGCTGGAAGTGCGATGAGTAGTGAGTAGGTAGCTATTTTTTGTATTTGTGGTTAGCAAGAGTTAAACTAAGATCAAAGAGGTACTTTAAGGAATACCCTAACGAGCAATCATGTACAGTTCGACTTTTTACTCTACTAAGCACTTCGGGTACTATACGTACCTTCCTCAGCACGTACGGATGACGCGAGGTGTCGGTGCACCTGATAATTTTAACGGGGCAGCCCGTTACATGGAATTGTCATTCTAAAGAAACAATGACAATAAAGAATATGAAGTTGAATATTCTTTGAACAATATCACCAAAGTGGTGATATTAAAGGGTCGACCAAAGAGTCTGTTCATTGGTCGATATCTTGATGATATCAACCCACCAATCGCCGCAAGACGCGCGCAATGAGTGGTGACGAGACGTCACCATACACTCAGTTATATTAGCATAACTAAGTTAAGTCAAACAGAGAGACAGTAGCAACAAGACTTAATTATATTTATACAACGGTTTTACTTTTTCCTTATTCTACACTTCCTCGTTTGCCTCGTGTACGCTTGTCGGGGCACCTAAACCCTTGCGTTAAGTTCACGCAAGGGTGTGCCCCGTTATACCTGGTAGCACTTTGTAGTCCTTCCAAGACCACAACATCCAACATGAACATGTGTGATGATGAAGAGACCTTTCACGCCACGCGTGAAGGGTTTACCCATTTGAGCGACATCGAATGGGGTGCGGTAGAACGAATGAGTTCTACCGTAGGCGAGTTCGCCATAAGCGCCATGTTGGAGTCTCTAGACAGAGACCAACAACATGCCGCTATCACCAAGTTCATCCAAAGTGAACTTGTCGCCGAAAGGGAGAAAGTAGCCTTGCTTCACCAGCAAGGCTCTCAACAGGCCGAGCAGTTGAGAGAACTCGGTGCTCAACAGAAAGAGCTGTTGAGACAGCAGCAATTCCATGCTACTGTGGGCGGGACGGCACATGCGCGTCGTCCCGAAGTCATGAAAGTTGACATCTCCAAGTACAATGGAGTCCCGGAAGACTCCCTGTTACTATGGTTTGTCGAACTCGACAGAGCCTTAAGGGCTCGTCGCGTCGAAGATGAGCAAATGAAACTCACATTTGCTCAGACCCACTTGGCAGGGCGTGCCAAAACTTGGTCCCTGGGACTCGAGAGTAGCGACCCACATGTGTTTAGGTCGCTAGATTACTTCAAGGCCCGGCTCAGACAAACGTTTGAGCCGCCACGGGCTGAGTTCAGGGCTCGTTCTGAGCTCCTGAAACTCAAGCAGGGTAAGCGTGATGTGCACGCTTACGCACAACATATACGACTCCTAGCGAGTAGTATAACTGCTAACCCAGTTCATGAACACACGTTGATTACGGTGTTCATGCAAGGGCTCGCAGAAGGGCCCGTCAGGAGCCACCTGTTCCGCCTTAAGCTGAATACGCTGGAAGATGCGATATCAGCCGCGGAACAGGAAGACTTTAGCATGAGACAGGCTCATGCTAGCTCAAACTCTTACCGTCCACCGAGACGACAAGAGATCGGAGTTCCAGAACCAATGGACCTCTGCTATGTTGAGAGCGAGAGACCTCGCTCTTCAAACAACAAGCGATTGCAGAAGTGCAATCGCTGTCAGAAGTTAGGGCGCTACGCATACGAGTGTAGTGCTCCACGCCCAGTACCAAACAGTACTGAGCAAAATAGACTCCCATTCGCCATGAAGGGCAATGGGAGTGGGTCCAGCGCTGTTGCGAAGCCGCAACAGCGAGACGGACCATCAAAAAATGGTCGGGGTCAGTAGGGGCGGAGTGCCCTACTGATCCAGCAACATCAAGAGAATTTGCAAATCTCTTGACAAAAGTTGCTCCAGATACACAATAATTGTGTGTCTCTGCACCTTGTGATGACGTTTCGCTCATCACCTTGAAGTTGGAAGCGACAAATGATTTTTCACTTCGTGCCCTAGTAGACTGTGGGGCGTCGAACAACTTTGTTCGTCGCCAGTCACTAGAGGGTCGTAGGCCCAAGTTCGTTGAGCGCGACATTCCCCTCACGAGGATGACGGTGCGCCTTGCAACAGGCGCATCGATTACCGTTAATAAACGTGTAGTCGGAATCCACTACACGTTAGAGGGAGAACAGTACGATGATGACTTCATTGTACTGGATCTGGATGACAAATTTGATGTCATCCTGGGATTACCTTGGCTCAGAAAGTACGAGCCAAGGGTGAGATGGCAGCATCGATCCGTGAAGATGCCTGCCACTTGTTCATCAGATGGCCATCTGATGAACATCTTGGAGCGTCCACAAGCGTGTGGATGTTCTGCGAGTGATTGTGATGGCCTCACTTGCGGTTCGGTCGTTAGCACGACTGCACAAGAGCACAGTGTAGTGGATCACTACACTGTGGAGCAAGCTCCCGGCGGCTGTATAGAAGTACAGGCTGCGCCGAAGGTCCACCACTCGAATAAGTCGAGTGGACCGGGACATGGATGCATGCCTAGCGGGCAGCATCTTAGACAGAAGAAACCTGTTGCCCCCAAAGGGCAACATGGAAATCCTAGGTCGGCTGGAGAGTCGACCGTAGAGGATCGGTGCCTGACTGTGGTTGCACAGCCACAGTCAGAAGACGTCGAGGGAATAAGTCCCCACGTACTTGAGGAAGGAATTCCTCAAGAGTCACTAACTGAAGAATTAGGCCCTCAGCAACCTGTGGAAGCAAGTTCCCAGGAAGAAACCGAGACACTGAATGTCTTGGTTAATGATTGATCAAGTGTAGGCGCTTTATCGCTTGATCTGATTGTGCCTTCGAAGTTAACTTCGGAGATAACTCAGTTGCCAACGCTAGAACCGAAACGGTTCTTGCGTGATCTGCGTAGTGGCAAAGTCAAGCAGATCTGCATACTCGTCACAGAGGATGAGTACGTTATTGATATTCGATCGGCGACAGAATTTTCTAAGAAAAAACGGATTCCCAGAAGCTCATCAATGGACGAAAGTGTCATCGATGAGAAGACTCGGATTGAGCGATACACGTCTCAATCCTGGGAGTCACTTCAGGAAAATCCTTTGTATAAGGATTTGATCGAATTCAGGGATGTG